AAAAAAAAAAAAAAAAAAGTGTTGGCAGTAAAATAACACCATATTTTCATCTCTGTGTCAGAATTGTCCAAAAAATAATTATCTTAAACAACAGACGCAGTTGTGTGCAGATGGATTTAGAAAGAAAAGCATACACACACACCACATCCTGGATGCTAGGGTTGCGAGCCAAAGTCTATAATTGACATTCATACATGGTTGCCAGAACACAAAAAGCACAGCGGGAGTGGCACTATAGTCTATGCAGCCTTTGTTAAGAAAGCAGTATAATTCAATGGTTTTCAGGATTGTTTCACCTACTCCATCTAACACACCAGATTGCGCTTGATAATTAGCTGACAAGGCGGTGTGTTGGAAGAAAAGCTTCAGGTTTAAAGGCTCTTGTATAGAGTTCGATTCTTCACTAGTCTGAGATCTGTAGTGTTGAGGAAGTGTGGTCATGACTGAGATAGTAAAGGTGACTAACATACTAATGTGAGCTCTTATTAGCTCCAAGGGCATTCCAGTAGCCATAAAAGTCTTGAATTATGGGTCAGTGTGGACCATCAGTCAGACCATGGCCATCAAGCTCCAATCCTTTCCATCAATTCGGCCCTTTCACAGAGCTTCAAGTACAAAATGCCAAAGTAAAAGATGACAAAGCTGCTTCAAAGCCAATTTCAGCTTTTCTGCAAGACATGTTAAAGGGGTTGATGGGTATACCTTACAGGGATGAAGTTATTATAGCTAGTGTCACTGCTGAATTATGGGTCACTATGGACATACCAGGCCACCATTTTCCCTTCACCCAGCAGCTCTTTAAATCTAATCCTGAAGGTTAATAACTCTTTTTTCCTCTCTGTTATTTGACCGAGGTCATCTTATTATTTAGCCCTTAGAGAACTTCTAATCTCTTCAATACTAGAATTTCAGAACAAGAACAAATCGCTTGACATTTTTACTCTTCCAGACCTCGGTTATACTGCCACGGCCTTAAATTACACACTGCAGTGTTTAATTACAGTAAGTGTCTATAGAGCCGTGTGAGCTGTGTAAATGAGAGGTAAATAAATATGCTTCGTAAAACCCATTTCACAGCACTTCATCCTCCCCCAGACCTCTACACAGTAAATTATACGAGTAGCCGAATTTCTACAGAGCTTTCAGACTGCTTTCCTCTCTCTAAAATGCTGCGCATACAGTAAAGGTATTTGTTATATTCATGTTAGATGAGGAGAATCGCATAAAGTGCAACAGAAAATAGGCTACTTGCACTCAGGGCTACGACGTATTTCTGTTTTGAAATACAGTGAATCTCGCACAGTACAGCGAAACAGCAACGTGTAACTTTTTTTCAGTCTTAAAATAAAGGCATAGTATTGGGCTAAAGATAGCTTTGGTGTTCGTTTCTATTAATAGGTATTTTCTCACATGCATAGTGTTATGTATGATGAAGGATACAGTCTGATGCCTTTCTACAGCTTACAAAGAGGAGCTTTGCAAGTGTTCTTACATATACATCGTTGACGTTCATTTTTTTTGGGAACTCCTGCAGACACCAGGTGTGAAATAACGCCATTGCCATTTTAGTTGATAAGCTGGAAGCAAAAGCGACATTTTGGTTATAATGCAGAAGGGTTTGTGCAAGTAGCCCCTTGTGGCCTGGTTTTCAAAGCTGTACAGCTGTGTTTTGGATTTTAGATTAAATAAAATCTATGCAACAATCAATTTAACAGCAAGGTCTAAAATCTAGTGTAAATGTGTCGTGTGTGTGTGTGTGTGTGTGTGTGTGTGAGCAGTATATATATATATATATATATATATATACACATACATACACTGCTCACATTCAGCCAAATGCTACAAAACTGATAGGACGCCGCTTCACAGTGCAGGTGGATAATGACCCTAAACATACTGCGAAAGTAACTGAAGACTTTCTGAAGGCAAAGATATGGAATTTTCTTCAACGGCCAAGTCAGTCGCCTGATATCAAACCCAATAGAGCTGCTTTTCACTTACTGAAGGCAAGACTGGAGGCAGAAAGGCCCAGAAACAAGCAGCAACTGAAGGTGGCTGCAGTGAAGCCTGGCAAAGCATCTCCAGGGAGGAAACTCAGAATTTGAGTTTTGAGAACATGGGCTCCAGACTTCAGGCAGTCATTGACTGCAAAGGATTTTCATCCATGTATTAAAATTATGGTTATATTTACAATTATGTCACTTTGTCCAAATACCTTTGAGCCCCTGAAAATGGAGGTACTGCCACATCCACACCTCAGCCTCTAATGAATACGACTAGGAGCTGTTCCCTGCTGGTTTTCCCAAAGCAGCGTATCCTCCTATTACAGAATGAATTCTCTCCAACCACCCACTGTAGCTGTCAGGTGCAGACGGACCATAATGACCAGGTTTTTTTGTCCATAATAACAGAGGCCAGCCACTGACAGATGAATCTGCAAACTACACATGCATTAGGAGAGAATTTTGCCCAAAAAATTCCTGCTGCAAGTCTGCAGTGGCTCGTGTTCATCAGACATGAGCGAGAAGGCTACGTACAGCTTGTCAAAAGTGAAATTCGAAATTTTTTCCAGCGCTTTCAAAATAGACAATCAGATGTTTTCCAGTATACAGTGGCGTCCAAAAATCTGAGAGCACTAGTGAAAATGCTTCTGTTTGGCATTCTTTTTCAATTTAACACAAAGGATTTCATTACAAATAATTATCAGCAGTAACCTGAGTGGAAAAATAGAATCTTAGAAATATTTACATGAATTTCAGAATTTCTTAGTATTTGGTATGTCCCCTTTTTCCTTTAATGACGGTGTGCACTTGAGTTGACACAGACTCCACAAGTTTGTGTAAAACCTAATGATCCGTGTTAGATTAAATTCAGCGGCGTGTCATCTGAACACGTGTTTCAGTGGAAGAGATGAGACTTACGCAAAATATGACCTTTTGTACAAAGGACTTAAAATGGTCAATATCAAAAAACAACATCTTGCATATTGAATAGTCAGGATGTTTGACATTTCCTTGGTTTTGTTTTAGAACATAGTTTTTTCAATATTTTAAAACTTTCTGTTTATTTCCAGTTAAATTTTTTTTTTAAAAATCCCAGATTTTCAGTGCGGTCTCAGAAGTTTGGACTCCACCGTAAGTCAGATCATGTGTGGGTTGTGTAAACTGTGTGTGTGTTTATCCTTATGTCTCAAGTGTGCAATAGTCTCTTATTGTTGAAAAAAAAATATTGAAAATATTGAAAAATATTTTTCAATTCTTACTAGTACAAATAATGTGGAAAATTATTTAATGTAGAAATTATTTAAAAAAAAAAAAGTTTAATTCATTGTCTCAGAACCAGTGTTTTACGAAGCTGATAAAACTCAGTTTGGAAAACTGCCTTCTGATGTGGAATGTTTGTATTTGGATTGGCCTCTTGTCAGTCATTTTATAGATATGCCCCCAATGCCCCTTCACATCCTCATAAATTTATGAGATGATGTTTTTAGAGTTATAACTTGCCTTTCATGCAGTTCAATGTCTGAGTTCACTTGAACATGATGTCATGACAGTCCTTGCTAATGGCAAATCTAGTTAGCATGTTAATTCTAGTTGAACCAAGTTTTGGGGGCGGAGCTTTGTAAACATTGGTGGAAATAAGTGCTGCCTGAATGTGTAAAAAACTAAATTAAATGTTATTCAACTCCACGCATTTAACCGTTAGAGACCCATTTTCCTCAAATCTTACCTAATGGACCTTCAAGTGTGAGGAAATTGGGATAGTGCTAGTATTTTATGGGTTACAGGGTTTGACAAATTACTAACCTGACCACTCAGGACAAGCAGATTTTAGGTTTAGGTTTAACTTTTAGTTTTAGATTAGTAGTTGCCCAGTGGACAAGTAGGTTTAACAACCAGAAAGAGAACAAGGAAAAAAATCATGCTCTCTATTGACTGTTACAAAACAAACCTTTTCAGTTGGTGTCTATGTTTAAACATAATGCGCTTCACGCTGGTGTGATGTATGTTGATGCTCTAACTGCAAGTCTGCCACACTATACACGTGCGCCAAGGTCCAGAAGACTAGTGGTTAGGCCACAGTGCTCTCACCGCTGTGGCCCAGGTCCGATTCCTGGCAAGGGAATGAACCCCAGGGGTTGCGTGCAACAGTGCGCTCTCAGTGCCTGTCCTAAGCCAGGATAATAACTGGGGAGGGCTGTGTCAGGAAGGGCATACGGCATAAAAACTATGCCAAATCAAATACGCTGATGAATGACCACTGTGGCGACCCCTAATGGGAGCAGCCGAAAGAGGAACAACAATAACAACAACAACAACAACTGGAAAAAACTAGCATGTGTAACAAGAATCAATTATCTTGTAGTTAAACATATTAAGAGAATGCATGTGATGGAAGAAGCGGACAACAGCACACAGCTGTAACATCTGCAATGCCTTTTATGCTTTTTTCTCAAGGTCACAAACACAATGTGCTACATTAAAATCTTTGTTAGAAGAGGATAATGAGATGGTTACACAGTTGTCTCCTCTATAGCCTAGGAATTCGTATACAAATTCATTTTCACTTCAATTCATTAGTCTGTATTAACTCCTTAACTAGCTGGCCAAACGCTATTATAATATGTTAGCTAACATTTTAGCCTAGGGAGTCTTGTGCAACCAAAATATGGGCAACACACTGGAGCTTCCAGTTGCGTAATGGGCTAACTAATGAATTTATCATTTGTCCACCACTGGATTGAGTTAACTTACTGCTGTCAGTTTCATTATTTAACATCATTTTTGTCAGACACATAAACAATGCACTACTAATTAAATTTATAAAGGAGGGAGTTGAATAACAGGTTCTTGCATACGTCAAAATCCTGCCAGTTAATGATCTACTGCTACACTGGAAATGTGTACTTTGCATTGTTTTATTTGTGCTCTAATGCCTTTGTAGATTAATTAACATTCATTTAAAAGTGTTGATTTCCTTATTGGAAAATGTCCAGAATGATTTCTGCCTGTTGGTGGTTTGTGTGATAACATACGCCTGTACTTTTTACTTTCTTCCACTGCAAAAAAAAAAAAAAAAAAAAAGATTTTTCTCTACATATTTTTCTCAGGCAGTAAAGATGATTTCAGATACATTGTTCCCATCTTTCTATGTAGGTACCAGAGGTAATATACCACTAGGGAAATCTCATGTGTGTCATCTGTGTGAGATATGAGATAATTAAACTTGCACTACCCCAGAAGGAGTAGTAATTGTCCTCATAAGCAAACTCGTGTCCTCATAAGCAAACCAAGAACAAGTCATTTGTGCTAAAAAAAAAAAAAAAAAAAAAAAAAAAAAAAAAAAAAAAAAAAAAAA